CATTGAGAAGATAATATACAGGGCAAGTATTTTGTCTTTGGCTTTTTTTTTTTCCTCTCTCTCTTTCACCCACCCTTTCACAGGTTATTGGAAACAAATGGAGTACCTATAATAAAAACTGAACTAAGAGACAGAAGACCCAGAATAGTCCTCACAATATTGAAGAACAAAGTTAGATGACTGATTCTACCGGACATCAAGCTTTACTATAAAGCTACAGTAATAAAGACATGTGGGTTGGCAAAGGAATAGACAAATAGACTAGTGGAACAGACTAGGGAGCCCAGAAATAGACACAAGTAGAATCAACTGATTATAGGCCACTAGGGGAGAAGCGATAGTCTTTTCGACAAATGGTACTGGAAAAAATGGACACCACATGCAAAAAAAGGAAAGGAATCTAGACACAGACTTTACATATTTCACAAAAATTAACTCAAAATAGATCATAGACCTAAATGTAAAATGTAAAACCATACAACTTCTAGAAGATATCATAGGAGAAAATCTAGGTGATCTTGGGTTTGGTGATGATTTTTTAGATACAACACCAAAAGCATAATGCATGAAAGAAAAAAATCATTAGTTGGACTTTGTTAAAATTAAGAACTTTTGCTCTGTAAAAGACTCTGTTAAGAGAATGAAAGGACAACCTACAAACTAGAAGAAGATATTTTGAAAACACTTATTTGTTAAAGGACTTCTTTCCAAAATATACAAAGAAATCTTAAAATTCAACATAAGAAAAACAACCCATTGCAAAATCGACAAAAGATCTGAACAGACACCACATCAAAGAAGATATACATATGGCAAATAAGGATAATAAAATTTTCTCCACATCATTTGTCATTAGAGATTTACATATTAAACAGTGAAATACCACATCACATCTATTAGAATGGCAAAATCCAGAACACTGACAACACCAAACACTGGTGAGGATGTGAAGCACCAGAAACTCTCATTCATTGCTGGTGGGAATGCAAAATGGTACAGGTACTTTGGAAGGCAGTCTGACAAGTTTCCTACAAAGCTAAATTAAATATAGGCCCACCATTCAATTCAGTAATTACACTTCTAGGTATTTATCCAAATAAATTGAAAATTATATTTACACAAAAACCTGAACATGAATGTTTACAGCAGCATCCAAGATGTCCTTCAATAGATAAATGAATAAGTAAACTGTAGTACTTCCATACAATGAGGTATTATTCAGGGATTTACTAAGAAGAGCTTTCAAGCTATGAAAAAGCATGGAAAAACCTTAAATGGATATTGCTAAATGAAAGAAGCCAGTCTGAAAACACTGCATACTGTATGATTCCAACTAATGACACTCTGAAAAAGGCAAAACTGTGAAGACAGTAAAAAATCAGTGGCTGCCAAGGGTTCAGGAGGAGCGAGGAGGGGTGGACAGGTGGAACAGAGGACATCTTCAGGTCAATGAAACTGTTCTGTATGATACTGTCAGTGGATATACTACTTTATGCATTTGATAAAACTCAAAGAACTGTAAAATACAAAGACTAAACCTGAAAATAAACTATAGACTTTAGTTAATAAATATCTAACATCAGTTGTAACAAATGTTCCACAGCAATGTAAGATGTTAATAGTAGGAGATATTGTGCGTTGGGGTGGGGGAAGGGAGTATATGGGAACTCCGTAACTTCCACTCAATTTTTCTGCAAATTAAAACTGCTCTAAAAAGTGTCTATTAATTTTTTAAGTGATCTAAGAAGAAGGAGTAGTACTATTCTGAAAGTAGTGCTTGCAAATGGAAAGTGAATTGAAATTGAATGTTTTCTGTCAAAACAATAGGAAAATATGGGGGTAAGAGCACATATTCTAACCCCCTTCACATTTTACTAAAAATAAACGCAATTAGAGTAAAGATGCTTAGTTGGGACTGCATCTTTTTATAACGTTTTTCTATTTTAAATATACTTGAAATTGCAATCTAGTTTACGGTGTGGCTCCCTAGTCTGGTATTAAACAAATATTAAGGGTATTTCCGTTATGATCTATTTAGCAATAATCATATAAAAACATCTTAACAAACAGAAAACATTTTATTTTATTTTGATAACTACCTCAAAAGTACCTAATAAAATAATAAATAGCGTAACATCTGAAATTTTTAACTTGGGTGATTGATACAGATGAGAATCTGCAATTTTCCCATTTTAAATGCCTTTCCTTTTACTCCCATTTTTTTTCCTCTCTCTATTTTCTTTTCTTCTTGGCTGTGTGTTTATTTTGTATTTTTGTTTTGGAATATTTTTACAAAAATATTGAGAAGAAAGTGTAGAGTTTTTAGACGTGCTTTTACATAAGTCCCCCTAATTTTCACTTCTTGCATAACCACGCTATATTTATCAAAACTCAGAAATTAACATTAGGACAATACTATTAATAAAACTGCAGAAGTTATTCTTACTTCACTGGTTCTTCCGCTAATTTCTTTTCCTGTTCCAGGAAATAATTAGGATACTACACTGCATTTCCTAGTCATGTCTCCATATAGTCTCTTTTGATGCAACACAGTCTCTCAATTTTTTAAAAATTTTTCATAGTGGTCACAGTTTTGAAGAGTATTAGGTATTTTGTAGAAGGCTCCTCAACTTGTGTTTGTCTAACGTTTTCTCATGGTTAGACTGAGGTAATGAACTTTGGGAAGAATACCAGGGGGGTGAAATGTCCTTATCTCATGATATCAATAAGTACATGATATCAACATGACTTGCGTGGTGATATTTAGACTTGGCATCTTGGTTAAAATGCTTTCTGCCTCCAAGTTTTCTGCACTTATAAAGCGTCTGTTTTTCCCTTTCCATTCATTGTTTTATGCAAATGTGTTGCTAAGTGAAACTGAAACTCCAGGGGAGAGCATCTAAATATATTATTTGGAATTCTTGTGTAAATCTGTTAAGGAAAATCCATGCTTTGTTCCCATTGATTTATTTATCATTTATTCAATCATTAATTTATAACAATATGGACTCATGGATTTTTATATTATTCTTTGAGTTGGAATCTATTATCATCAGTATTGATTTTCTTACTTGAATTACTCCAACTTTGGCAATGGGAGCTCTTTCAGTTTAGCTCTTGTGTCTTTTTGATTATTCCTTTTTTAACATATAAACTATCTCTGAAGAGCCATTATGTATGTTGCAGTTATGTCATTCTAATATAATGCATCAGCAGTTTACCTTGGCATGCAATTAGCATCATATCATTCTACCTACATCTTCAAGATGCATTTAGTGATTTTTCATTTATTTATTTAATACATGTTTATTCAGCACCTACTGTATGCCAGACATTTTTCTAGGCACTGCAGATAGATTAGGAGATAAGATCCGAGAAATGACAAGGTGCTGGATGGTGCAGACCCTTGTAGACCTTTTCAGAGAACTTTGGCTTTTTCTCTACATAAAATAGAAAGCCCCTGCAGAAGATTGAGCAGATTATTGCATTATCTGCTTGGATACAGAGCCTGATCAATCTAGCTGCCGCGTGAAAAACAGACTATATAGATTGGCCAATGTTGAAGCCGACAGACCAGTCTAGAAAAGCAATACAGGTGGGACTGATGCTTTAAATGTAGCTGCGGGGATGGTGAGAAGATTGCATTCTGGATTTCTGATAGATTAGATCTGAGGTGTGGGAGAAAGGGAGAAGTTAAGGATGATTTCAAGTTTAATGTCCTGAACAACTGGGGTGATAAAACTATACAATGCATACATACACATGTTCCTGTCTTCTATTTTTTTTTTCTTTTTAAAGCTTCAGTGCATAGTCCTGTATCCTAGTTGTTAGTTTAGTTCTCTATGTGAGTTGCCGCCAGAGTATGACAACTGACAGACGGACGGTGTATTTCCATGACCTGGAAACGAACCCGGGGCATGGTTGTGAGACCACTCAATCTTAACCACTAGACCACCAGGGCCAGCTCACTCTTCCGTGTTTTTTTAAATATTAAATAGGGAGTGTGATAGTGGCCTAAAGTATTAAAATGATAACTGAACAATGTGTAAGTGAATCTCCAGTGCATAATTTGTAGTCAAAACTAAAAATAAAGAATATATTATTTTATTTAATTATGAAAGGAAAGATTAGCCTCATATAGATACATAGACATCCCCCTTTACAATTTTAGCCATTTTTCTTTTTATGTTTTCATTGAAAATAACATCCCAGAATATTTTCCTGTAATATCTCTTTGAATCAGTGGCAATATACTTTGTATTATTTTTAGTTGTTTCTTGACCAGATTTATAGTCCTCAGAGTACTTGGAGTCTTTTTCACTAACCTCTCTTTTCAGATTGTTTATAATTTTACATTGCTCATGCTAAGATTATTTGAATTTGCCATAATTTAGTGTTGTGGTAAATGTGATGTGTAGTACTGATTTTCTACATAATTTCAATGATTTCCCAATGACATAAAAGGTGTCAAAATGTTAAAATAAGGTTTACTTCCTTTTCTGTATGCTATAAAATCACTCTCTATCTTTTCCAATCTCATAGACAACTTGCTATCTATTCCCTATATGCAGTGAAAAATATCTGATATATATATACATATATTTAAAATATGACACAAATCTTTATCATAGGCAGCACTTATAAAAACTTTGGTTATGTAATAGCTAATTTTAAATACATCTTGTATATCATAATATGTAGGTTTGAAGATTAGTGCATCCAGAATTCAGAGATAATGAAAATTCTATCAATTCTTTTCTTTCCTTGGAATTTCTGATACTAGTGGTCATATTAACAAGCAGAGAAAAAAGGAGAAAGCAAGAAATAATTCGAGCGCTGGTAAAATAATCTTCATTGCAGCAATTCACAATAGCATGTTATATATAGAAATAAGATCAGTCATTGTTTTCAAGCCTGCTAAATAAAACCGAACTCTTGGAATGGCATGCCACTTGACCTTTCTGGGTTTCACCAGCAGTATTTAACTGGTGCAAAGGGAACACACTTGCAAGTGTCTCCTGTTGACATGAGAGATTCTCCTGGTAGTTCACACAATGTTCAAAAGGCACAAGTCCCTTGCTTCAGAACGCAAGAAAGAATTATCTTCCCATGGAGCCACACGGTCCACACTGAAGAATGATATGAGAAATTTTCACTTTTTGTCGCAACTTATACTCTCAGCAGGGCCTCTCAAATCAATTCCAGCAGTTAAACATTCAAAGACTGCTCACTTTGAGGTTGAAATACTTGATGCTCACACAAGAAAGCAGATATGTATTGTGGATAAGGTGAGTTTCATTTATTTCTTTCAATTTCTCTTATCTGACCCAAAGATCATTGATCACTTCATTAAATGTTGGCAAACCTTTACTAAAAGATCTTCCAGTGTTTATTGCTAATTTTACGATGAGTAGAATAGATACTTTATACTTCATTTCAGTAGTAAATATTCACTGCATCTTTCATACTCAATTTAAATGGTAGCTAATAATTATTAGCTTCTGGATATCCTGCTGACATTTACCATGGTCAGGAGGTAAAATTTCCGGGGCTCAGCTTCTCAGCCTACATGACAAAAGGTCTCTAGGTTTTTCTCTTCATGCACTTCATTGCATGTTCAAATTATCATAAAGTTTTAATAGTGTTTGTAGAAAATAGTAAGCAAAAGCCACTGTTATGAAAAATGATACTTAGTGTATATGATAAAACTTAGTCATTTACAAATTATTTAGAATTGATTAAATTATCTTAAAAAATGCACATCTCACTTTCTATGAAAAGTTTACTTATTTCAAAACCACGGTGTTCAAGGTCCTAAAAAGAGTGTCTTGCTTAATATGTTACCCATGTGTATTCATATCACAGATGTTTCACTAAGAAAAGATAAAATATATACTTCCTAGGCTAGAAAATTAACACACAAATATATGTGTACACTGTACATATACATATGTATGTACAACATTCCAAACATTTTCAGTTTCTCAAAAGTTTAAAAATACACCAGTGGTTAATTTGTTATCAGAAAGATTGATATTTTTAATAAAAATAAACCTTGATTTATTTTACTTTACAGACTAGTTAAATAAGTTTTTTGCTGTTGTTCTAAAACTAAAATTTAACCACCGATTTTATTTAACTATACTTTCACTGTGATTCTAGATAAGAAGGAAAGAGAAGAAATTGTTTCCTGCTTTTAATTGCCAAGGTCATATATACTTTCTTATTTAGTAATTATAATGCTATGACCAGCCTATTGGTTGGGTGATATTAACTTTTATTTACAGATGAAAAATGAAAGATAGAAAAACTTTAAGAAGTTTGTACAGGTCAAGGTGAAATATAAGAGATTCAAAATCATTTCCATGCGACTCTAAATCATATTCTTTTTCTATAGCATCACTTGGGCCATATATAAATGATGAATATTTATTACATATAATAGAATTTTAGCTTATGAATTTCATGCGTATTATAACTTACCTCTATTTTAGTGTCTCAATAAAGTTTTTCTATTTTTTATATCAGACAAGAATAAGACAAATCTAAAAAAAAGATAAAGTTATTCAGAAGTTACTGATGTTTGCAGTATCTCAATATCAAAAACTCAAAACTTATAAGAAAAATATAATTAAATCAAGGGGAAAAAGGCAATGGAGGGAATGGATATTAAATTGGTCAAGGACTTCTAAAGACCAAGATACCAAAATGAGACTGGTTATTGTGTTCTTTTTTATATGTGTCTAAACCTTGACACAAAATCCACCTTAAAGTAATGAGGAACTGGTGGGCTCCTAATTATTTTCCTCATACATTTAAATTTTCTGTTATTAAGATTTTATGTGAAGCTAAGACATGGAGCTTTATATTTCCATGTTTACATTTCTAGCTAAATGGTGAAAAGTTTAAGCATGCAGAAAGCCAACATTATTTAGAGATAAGAATTTTGTTTAGGAATCTCATATTTGAACTCTAAGAGTCCTGGTGTTTGCATCTCCAGTGGCAAACCCTTAGGGAAACTCAAAGGCTCAGTAGGGGATTAAGTCGGATTCCTCGCCAGCCTTCATTGCACAATCCACACCCTGTGGTGTGCAGCTTACTACATCCAAATGTTTGACTTGTCATTGAAACTGAATTTTGTTTTGTCTTGTTTCAGTTTTGTAATTTGAGAAATTGTCTCATAATGATGGCAAGATTTCTAAAAGAACAAAACACCAATTACTTTACATTTTTTTTGTTTCACGATTCCTAGCTGTGCAAATTTGTAAACATGAAAAAATTGCTTTTGTTTCTTGTTGAAGATATTGTTTTTCTTAGACAAATTAACAGCTATATTAGCAGTAAGGTCATGTTAAGTGCCTTTCACTGCACTTGGCTACACCTGGTCTACAAAAGCAGTGTTGCTTATGACTTCGTCCCTGTCTTTCAGTAAGTACTGTGTTGTTAAGTAGTAAAAGTTAAAGGGCATGTACTTTGGAACCAAGCATATCTGGATCAAAGCCCTGCCACATCAATCATATCTATCAAGGCACAGGAAAGTCACTGAGCTGCTGATCCCCAGGACCTTTATTTAGAATTTAGGTTACTAAAATCTATTTTGTGAGCTTGTGGTAGAAGTAGAAATAATATGTGTAACATGCTTTGTAGAGTATCTTAAACATAATAGGGACAAAATAATCTTTTTAGTTTTAATAATCTTTCAGAGAGATAAATTTAATGTGCATAAACATTCAAAAAAAAATGTGACGAACTTTGTGATATCCACACAGAATTTAAATTTGACTTCTTGATAACTATCCATTGACATGATTTGTTATAATGCTTAAGTTAGATGTAAATTTTCAAATACCTAGAGTGGGATGTACGTATTTTAGTAATATATGCTAAGCTCTGGTAGAAATTGAGTTTGCGTCTAGATATATCTAATTTAGTTCATATAGTTTAAATATAAATTACAATTACATTTAATTTAAAATTAAATTTAAAAATAATTTAAATTCACAGTGGACAAAGTACGTACTCAAGAGATTCATGAGACCAAAACATTGAGAAAATTCCTCGGATTAAAGAAAATATATTGAATCATGTTCTCCAGCTTCTGTCCCATTTCTCTCATTACTTTCATCATGTTCATATCATCTGTCCACGCTTCTCTTTTCTCATTCTATCCTAAACCCTCTCCATCCAGGCATTTGCCTCCATCACTTCTCAGAATACGAACTTGCCGAGGTCACCAGTGAGGCAGTGGTAAATACCCTGCTAAATCCAAAGGTCAATTCTCATGCTTTATCATACTCAGTGTATCAGCAATATTTGCACTGTTAAGCACATCCTCTTCCTTAAAATACTTTCGTTATTTGAGCTCCAGGATTATACACACTTTTTTTTTAAACCTTCTTTATTGGCTTCCCCCTTTTCTCTTACTTCTTCTTTATCATCTGACTTATTATGTGTGGATTGTCAACAACTCTGTCATCAGAACTTCTCCCCACCTTTACTCATTTACCTTACTGAGTCTTGTAGCCTTAAGTATCATATGCCTATCGATGACTCATAAACATGTAACTGCAGCTTATCGTTTTCCTCTGAAATTGCAAATCCCTTTATCTATTTATCTATATATGTATCTATCTACATCTATGTATGTATGTATGTATCTATCTATCTAACTAACTAACTGTCTAGCTATCTCTCTGGCTATCTATCTATGTATGTATCTATCCATCTACCTATCTATTTGGATGTTTACTAGACATCTCAAACTTAGTATATCTAAAACTGAGCACTTGGTCTTCCCTCCAAATTTTTCCACAGAGTTTTCCAAGTCACTAAGTGGCAAATATATCTTTCCAATAGCTCAAGCCAAACAGCCGCATCATGACTCATCTTTTAATCTCACACGCCACATACAATCCATCTTCACAGTGATGTCTTCAAATATATCCATACTTTGACACTTTTTCAACACCTCTACTGCTAGCACTCCTCAATCTTTCCTGCTCTTGTCCTTAGCACCTTCAATATGTTCCCTAGATAGCAACCAGAACTCACCTCTTAAATCATGTCAGATAATATCATTCCCCACTCACAACCAGTCAACATTTTCCTTTAGGTCTTTACTTAACTGTCATGTTTTCCTTGGGACTTTTCCTGACTACCTATTTAAAATTGCCAAGTCTGTCAATTTTCTCTAATAACCTTCCTTGTGCTATTTCTTCACTAGTACTTATTACCTTTTTCATTTTGTTTATTATTTGGCCTACCCCTAGAATACCAGTTTCACAAAATCAGGGATTTGGGACTTTTTTCACTCCCATATTTTCAACATTTAGAATAGTGCCTGGCCCAAAGAAAGTGCTTACTAATATGTATTGAATAATTTGATGCTTGTTTAAGAGGTATCTGGATTTGACAATGCACTCATGTTTAGGAGTGCTAGTTTTGGGGTGGAGGAGTATGATATTTGAAAATACTTTTTATTTTTTTCTAAATCAAATTATCATTGGAATAAATGTAAATGTGTTTACAGAAAAAGACATTTAATTAAACCATTTCACCGAATGCCCAAATTCCTCCTGGCTTGCTCCCAGCAACGATGTACAGAATTTAACTTCATATTCATGTATAATTTATTAACAGATAGTGATATTCTGATTACAAAAGCTAACAAACTTTTCATAAAGAAGACAATGAAAATGGAAGAGTATTTATTTAACTAATTTACTTATTTCCTATGAATGATTGAAATAATGCTACTAAAAGAATGATAAGATGGAGAGCAGATTTAAAATATATTGTTAAATATCATTCTTAAGTATTTATTGGAACATCAAAAATATATAGGAAAAATAAATTTAAAAATTTAACAATGAATTATTTCTAGTTGCTAACTGTCCTTGTCTCACTTCTATTTTACAAAATGTCAGAAGCTTATCTTGTGATAAGTAGATGATTCAAGAGCATGGCCAGAACTCTTAAAGCTAGAGTTGATAAATGTTTCCAATATCATCCCATTCTTTTTTCTTTAGACTTTTCTCCAAGGAGCTTGACCTCAAGAGCCCTCTTTCTCCTATTGTTTTACTTACTCTACGTCAAAACTCTCAAAAGCTTTCAAAAGACTTCCTACAAATAAAAGAAAGCACTCAATAATTCTCCAATCCTTCTAGTGGTAAAAATACCAGTTTTCACCAGAAAGCAGTAGAGAGAATTATACAGGATTATATAACTGCATAAAAATTGTACTTTTAATACTTCAGTGAGAAATTTTGAGAACTGTTAATTTCTGACA